AATCAGTCGCCAAAAGGCAGGTCCTGTTCAGGGGTGGGCCCAGGAGGCTGATACGCTCTGCACCTTGAGGGTGGCTTATACCTTAGGCACCGATACCAACTCGACACCACTCACCTTATATGTCAAAATCACATCTATGTCCTTCACCGAAGAGTGGTGCAGTGGTATCCGTCCTAGATCCTAAGATCATAAACCTAAAATCTCCAAAATCCGCTCCTACAATTCCTTCTCCCACTGCACCACTCTTCGTTTTTGCTGGATCTTCCAAAAAATCAGAACAACTGCAACACGACCATTCTTTTTTTTTGCTTGTCAATGCTAGAGAAGTAATCTTTGGATGACACGATATCGGTCCAGGGGTATATGACAGTCAGTCCGTGCCAACTGTCGCGGAGCAGTACGAAGACTCAAACCATTATTGACGATGAAAGAGTTAGCACCGGGGTTATTACTCCACTCCCAACATTGTGCAAGAGAAAGCCCAGGGAATGTGTCGATTCTTGTCCAGTGCTTGGTTACTTCATAGGTGCCTGGGGAGTCGGATCAGATGAGCCCTAACCGCCGCTGGCGCACCGACAGCACGGCCCCTCGTCCCTACCCCTTATATGTCAAAACCACACACTACCCTTCACCGAAGAGTGGTCTAGCGGTATCCTCCCTAGAACCTATGAACCTTCTCTAAAATCCGCACCTAAAAACCCTCCTCCCGCTGGGCCACTCTTCGTTTTTGCCGTTCACGAGTTCGAACGAGGCTCGATGTCATTCTTTTTGCGATCCAACGATACGTGAACGTTCCCTGGCTTGCAGCGACATCGACCTGGACTTTCTTTTTATGTGCCATCGCTCTGTTTGACGAAGGAGCCCCGAGGTTCTGATGGGGACAGTCGACAACTACCCCTTATATACCAAAATCACAGTGTTACCCATACCGAAGAGTGGTCTAGTGGTATCTCTCCTAGAACCTATAAACTCTCTCAATCCGCACCTAAAGTCCTTCTCCCGCTGGGCCACTCTTCGTTTTTGCAGTTCGTGCGTTCGAGGCAATATACCACGCCTTCATTTTTTGCTTCTCATGATTTCACCATGTTCGTCAAATGACAACAATACCGACCTGGACTTTGTCCCCTGAGCTTGACCACTTTGTCTGGTGCTGGTCCCGCGACTTGGCAATACGTCCAGCAAGGCATCCTACCTTTACGTACCAAAATCACACACTACCATTCACCGAAGAGTGGTCTAGTGGTATCCGTCCTAGAACCTATAAACCTTCTCTCATTCCGCACCTAAAATCCTTCACCCACTAGGCTGCTCTTCGTTTTTTGCAGTTCACAAGTTCGAACACTTCTTCAACAAGCAACAACTTCAATATCTTTTTGCTCCATGATGTACCAAACGACGACACAGAACAGCACGAACACAAACTGTGGATATTTACAGCAAAACAGACCTGAATTTGTCCACCTCTCATTTTTGCCGAAAAGGGGCTCAATCCTACGTCGCCATACCCGCACCGAGTGGCCGAAGAATGTTGAGTCGACGATTATTGAGATCAGATCAGAGTGTCACCAGGCGACGTAAACACAGCAGTTCAGTACTACGCCTGTCGTGAGTGCTCTGCCTGTTGTGACACCCGTGCTTATTGTGGCCTTGTGTGGAACTCATGAGGGAGGCACGCGGCACAGTCTCTGCTGCCTACCCCTTAAATACCAAAATTGCTCAGTTTATCATCGGCGAGGAGTGGTGCAGTGGGAATACGCAACCTATTAACCTAAAATCTTTCTTCCGCACCTATAATCTCTCTCACCCCACTGCCTGCTCCTTGCTTTTTGCCGAAGTTCACGACTTCGAGTTCCCCCTTCGACACTGAGTTCTCTGACATCGACATCACCTTTTTGCCATTCGACGTCGTACTCGAACCTCGAACGCGCTCTTCGATGACATCTCGGACGCTCATCACACGCCTTGCTGATCCTTCACGGTAACAAAAAAATACATCGCGAGCCGCAAAGCCGTCAACGTGGATACATTCCTCAACAATGGGCACTCTTGTTGACATGGTGTGGAGTGATGGACACATGACAAGACAGACACTGGACACCTACCCCTTAAATACCAAAATCACTCTGTTTACCATCACCGAGGAGTGGTGCAGTGGGAATACGTTACCTACTAAACCTAAAGTCTCAAATCCGCACCTAAAGAAACCTCTCACCCCACTGCCCACTCCTCGATTTTTGCCAGGGCTTCCGACTTCGAATCCTCCCCCGACAAAGCGCCCCTTTTTGGTCCTCGATCTCGCACCCCTGGTAGTCCAGTGCTTGACGATGATCCTATCTGCATGCCCTCGACACCCTTGGAGATGGGAACCCCTTTTTCCCATCACGATTCAGAACATGATCAAATACCACCTCCGAGGACAGTCTTGCCAGCAATATGGGCTCTGCGCTGATGATCACCGTCTGACATGACACAACTACCTACCCCTTATATACTAAAACCACACATATGGTCTTTAACAAAGAGCGTGGTCTAGTGGGAATCCGCATCCTATTAACCTAAAATCTTCAAACTCGCTCCTATAAGCTCTCTCAACCCACATGACCCGCTCTTTGTTTTTTGCTAGAGTCACGACTTCGAGTCTCTTCCGCGACATTCCTTTTTGTCCCTCTGGACAGCACAGTCCCCGACTCTACCCCTTATATGTCAAAAGTACATCCATATCCTTCACCGAGGAGTGGTGTAGTGGTATCCGTCCTACAACCTATGAACCTAAAAACTCTTGAATCCGCTCCTACAATTCCCTCTTCTCCCACGACCACCACTCCTCGAATTTTTGCCTGAGTTGAACAACACTCACTGTCTACTTTTTTTGCCAGTTACTCAACCCGGAGGTCAGTGGAGTCGGGGTTCTCTAAAGAAGATCGTCTCAAGCGCGTTGCAAGAAAAGGTCTTTACCTACTATGACCTTATTTAGGCAAAGTCGCGACTCAGGAGTGACTTGAGAAAGCAGTGAAAAGGACAACTTCTGGCTTTGCCTCTTTACATTGAAGCCTTTAAGACAGCTTCAGCAAGAGGCCAAGCAAGAAAAAGGGGCAAAGGGAGGAGGGCCCAGCTAGGAAGAGGCATGCTTTGCCCCGCCTAGGATGACATCCTGTCAACATCAGGGCCTTGTGACCCGCGATCTACGACCTTCATGCAACCGCCGACCCCTTATTCCTATCGAAGAGTGGTGCAGTGGTATCCTCCGAGAACCCACGAACCTCCGAAGCCCGCTCCTACGATCCCCCCCTCCCTCCCACTGTACCACTCTTCGTTTTTGCCAGTTTCACCAAGTTCGAGTTGAACTTAACCATCCTTTATTCTTTTCTCCTTTCTCCTTTCTCATTTTTTACTCTTTTACCCCCTTTTCTTTCTACCATCGTTTCTCACATGGTATTCCTTTTTGCTATGGCTTGTTTCCAAGTCCAATCTCGTGCTCTAGGCTAACAACCAGGTTCGATTCGATGATCAAGTGAATTCAGGGGTTTTGTTTAGTGGTCTTGGTGACAAGACTCGGTAGGTCGCACGATGTGGTATTGGTGGTGAGCTCGCTCACTTGAACGCAACTACCTCGCAGGTCGGGGCAGAGTGTTAAATATTAGAATTAGTATACCCCTTTCACCAAGGAGTGGTGTAGCGGTATACGTCCTAGAACCTATAAATCCTAAAATCCGCTCCTAAAAACTCTTTCTCCCGCTACCCACTCCTTGTTTTTTGCCTGTGTTCGAAACCCGACTCCTTTTTTGCGTTGATGGTGTATTAATGCCAAGGTCTTTGATAGCCTGAGATTCGTAGCAAACTCATCAAGACTAGAGATGTCGGTGTAAACCAGGGGTTCAGCTCTCCGTCTCGTTTGGGCAGACACTTGTCTAAGATAGCACAGGAAGTCCATGAAGGGCTGTTTTGATATACAATTTCATCCTTTCATGCTCAATTCCCTGTATCTATGCAGTGTGAAGTTATTCTCGCTTCTCAAATGGTGGTGGTGTCGTCCCGCCTCGGATGACCGACCCCTGAGCCATGGCCAGAGCCCAGATCAGGGTCGCCCTGATCATTAACAATGAAAAGAAGACACGTAAATAAAGTTCTGGAAACAAATTATAATGAGGGTTCGCGAGTCAATCACCCAATGATGTTTGTCGCCACTGATGCTGCGCCTCGGCTGCTGCCTGCACGTCCCAGGCAGCAACTGCCCCTTTCCATCAGACAACCACCAGCCTGAAAGCTTCGTTATATACCAAATTGAAACAATCACATTCAACGAAGTAGCTAAAGATACAAACTGAACCATTTGGTGTAGCGGGAGTCCGGAATCCCGGAGCCACTCTTCGTTTCCTACAGTGTTCATGACTCTATGTTCGAGTCCTGTGATGGCCATCACATCCTAGTTTTTTGTCCTTCTTTTTGCGCTTTCTCTTCTCACTATTCCTATTAGACTCTACTATTTTTCTTAAATTCTGCAACGATAGACAACGCTCTCAATCGGAAGCGTCACACAAACTGTGTTCGAGTCCAGTGTCAACTTGAGGACAATCACTCTAGCAGCACGACTCTATGATCTTCATCAAGTATTTAACCTACTTCGGGAACTTCAATCCCCCTGAAGTCCTCTCTATCAACCCAAATATTATCCCAAGAACCTATGGGTGTCCATCCGCGCTGTTCATATGTTCCTTGTAGCGTCTTGCTTGATGCTCTCAGCCATAGTCATATCCTCACCTTCGACCTTTCCATCGACCACATCGCCCAACATATGATACCGAACCCATATCGCATCTCCGAACCTTCCGTCATGAATAGCATCAATATATAAACGCCCCAGGGCTCCTCAACTTGTATTCCGTCTTGCTCGAGAACCTGCTTCATGAACTGATACAAAGTTTAGGCACCAGCCATGAGGTACCTTCTTATACTACAATTACACACTCCCCAACCAGCGAAGTAGCTGCGCACTCAAACTATTGGAACAACCGATTACCAACGTGGTCGAGCGGGGAGTCCGGAATCCCAGAACGTTCCCTTCGCTCTTTTTTGTCGTTAGTATCACAGGTTCGAGTCCGAGCTGCAAGACAATGCCGCCTCTTTTCTTTCTTACTATTTGACCTCCTACTATAGTTGAAGAACACTTCTCATCTCCTTGCGAGCCGCCTCATCACGCTCTTCAATCTCAAATACCTCGTAAAATTCTTGACGCCACTCCTTTGACAGGTGCTCACTCCACTCTCTAATATCCCTTCCATATTTTCTGAGCAGGAATATTAGATCCAAATAGTCTGATCGCTTCTTTCTTGACATCCATGTTCGTAATTTTACTTCGACCTGCCAAGTTAAGGCGATGACTGGGACCTGGGATCCTTGAGGTGTCTCAAAATGAGGCGTGATAAGTTCAAGAGAGTCTTCTTCTCCTAACAAGGGGGTACCTAGTTGGCCTAAGGTGGGGATGAAGTTGGCTATCGCTGCACATATGCTTCCTTTAGGTGGACTTGCTTACCTGAGAGAACAATATCCACTCCAACAACCTGCCCATCTTCCCCAATGTCCACGAACATTCTCTCCTGGATGCTACCCATAATCTCATAGTATGAAAGAATTGCCCTACGGCCTTGTGTTAGTCCGCCCCAGGGAGTAAGAAAACTTCTAACCTTAGGCAAGTTTAGTATAACTTAGGTGGTTTTTTATTAAACTATACTAAATTTGCCCAAGTGTCTTCGTCATTTAGGATAAAGGTCCTCAGTTTTCTTGCCTCCCTACTGCTCCGGGCTACAGCGAAAAGGTGGATAAGCATGATGAGACTTACCAGTTGTATGGAGATAAGATTGCCCTGACTTGGTGAACGTCGGTCGCCAATACCAGAAGATCGAGGTCTTTGGTCTCACGAGTAGACCCTCGAAGCTTAAGAGCCCATCCACCGAACCAAGCGTAGTATGCCTTGCCATCGAACGCTGCCTGAAGCATAGAAGCAGCCTTTGCCATCTGATCATTGGTGGCTCTTAGAGCATTACGCTCAAGGTCTCTAAGCTCTGTTGGAGAGGCCTGACCAAAATATCTAGCCATGTTGAGTGTGTAATAAGATCGAATATACTGACTCTGAATAGAGACACTAGCTAAGAGAGGCAATAAATCTTAGGATGATAATCCTAAGCGGGAAAAGATTTAGGTAAATTGATATATACTTAGGGGGCTCTTTGCTAAGTTTATTCATCCTATCTCAAGGTCCGAAGTTTTCTTGCTCCCTGAGGCTTGCCATTTTCTCACCTGTTGGCCTGCTATCAGGCCGTCAGCGCCTGGGGCCGCATGAGCCCAGCCTCAATCTACTACATTTATCGTGGCCAAGTCTTGCCGAAATCTGACCGGCAATTCTTTAATTGGAGATTGCTTGCCGCGCGCCTGTGACACCCTGTGATCTTGGCCAAGTAGCCGGAACAGACCCTGCCACCAGTCCATAAAAATGATGTGGTAAAGGAGGCGGTTCCATACGTAGAAATATTATGCCTTTCATGAGTAGACGTGGCGTGGCTATGACTTCTCTTGTAAAGACGGGTTTGGGCATGTATCGTAGCTTTCAATTACCGGCTGGGGTATACTATCTATTTGTCTTTCTTGTTTCTAGTAATCATCCGAGAGAACAGTCCACGAATCTGGAGTGTCAATAATATGATATTGCGTAGTAAACACATGGCTTGGCTTCGTCCAATCTAACCTATCCTTCTTTGATCGTACGTAGGACTGCCACATAGCTCGTCTGCTTCTTGGATGACCGAATGCAAAAGGCGACCAGTGTAAATACTTCCCGCCTTCATATTCACGGCCTCGTCTGTTCACATCGTCAGCCCATTCAACGTCGTTTGTACCGTCAAGTTCAAGATTCTCTTCTCCCCACTCCTCTGGCAAATCTGTACCGTCAATCACATCGCATAGTTGGAGTTCGTCGCCTGAATCTAGACAGCTTTGTATAAAGACGTCTAGCTTGGGATATGGTAACCCTCGAAGGCTGCGAGTGAAGTTGGAGGGTTCGCAGACTATGTGGACATCTCTGTCGGGGACAAGGACAAAGTAGAAATCGGTTTCATTATGTTTGAATCGATGCCAAGTATGCAAGAGAGATGAGCTTGGGTGATCCCATGGCTCCGCGAGGTGATAAGTGGCTGAATGAGGCTCTCCCTGTAATAATGCTGCAGCTTTGTCAACGAGATGTGTCGGGACACAGATTTCCCAATGCTACCAATTGTTAATAAAGTTACCCATACTCCAGAGATCCGAATCATACGTGACGCAGTCTGCCAGCTCCATAAAATATGAGAGCACATGTTCCCACCATACAGCATGGGATATCAGCTGCTTCAAGGATTCGGGTAACAGCGAGAGCATCATCCGTGCCCCGGCCATTATTAGAAGCCCGCTTTTTCGTATATGACTCTGGAAACCTCGGGGTGAAAGAGGGTGGAGGCGGCACAGGCCCTATTGTCTTTTTCCTTGTCCATGACATTTTGCTGAAGCAATACAACGTAGAGCATGTAGGTAGTTTAGCTGTCAAGCGGCGGCACCCACCGCGGGAGGTCTAACCGAATGAATACAGTACATCAGGCGGTCAAATTAGGCAGAACCTTATGTCACATACAGTATACTGCGTTAGGCCAACTACTCCCTATCAATGCAATCTTTTACAAGATAATTAAATAAGGCTTTGTATTTTTATCTCCTTGTTATTAATACTTCATGTTCACTCTCAAGCACTTGTTTGGCTAGGGATATCTGCATGGAAATAATCTTGCACCAGGGGCCCTCGCAGATCCATCTCGGCGAGGTGACTCAACACCGGCTTCAGAACCCCACACCCACTAACAACCCCTGCAGCACATCACCACCTCCACTGACAACCACAACGACAAAGAACAGTCCGTTATATACCAAAGCAAACAAACAGCTATCAGCGAAGTAGCGAGAAATACGTGCTCAATAGCTCAACCGAACCTTGCTTGACCATCTCCGGATGTAAAGCCTTCGCTTTTTGTCAGGCCAGAGTCCTGCAGTTCGAGGCGCAATGTGAACACTGGTGGCCATACTTACCATTTCTTTTTGGACTTTTCTAGCCCCAAGAGACAATCCTTTTAGATAGAATGCCATATATATGTAGACACCTTTTTGATGTTCTTGTAGAAGCATTCAATCGGGTAAAGAAGCTTCCGTCAACTTGCAATGGCTCCAGCTTAATGAAGTGCTGCAAATACATCCGGGGTCAGCCAACACCCTAGCCTTATAAACCAAACCAACATACATTGCTATCAGCGAAGTAGCTACATCTTTAACTCAACCGAATTCCGGTTGGATCTCCAAAGAAACATCTCCCTTGGGAGACTTCGCTTTTTGGTCATAAGTTCGACTGTCATTTACCCTTGAGCCTCTATTTTTTGCAACCGCGCAGCATCTTCCCCCTCTCCTTTTTATAACCTTCTCATTTTAAAACAAGAAATAGATAGCAAAAATGAACATTTGCTTATTCTCTTTTATCTCACTCAGTCTTTTCCTCTATGCCTGGGTCTGCTGGGCTGAGTGTAACAACCTTGTCCTTCAGCCATGGATCTTCACAACCCTTGCACTAACACCAGGCAACATCCACGCTAGTCATCTCCAAGACATGGAATAAACCTTGATAGTTCGTTCTATTGCTCTCTCTTTCAGCGAAGTAGCTAAAAACAACTGAACCATTGGCGGAGTGGTGAACTCTTCCTTTCATCGCTCCGCCGCTCTTCTCCTTCGGGACCTGGCTTCGCTTTTGCTGGTCAGTGGTTCGATTCCTATGTCTATCCTTTTGCCTTTTCGTAGTTCTTCTCATACAGAGGCATAACATACAGAAGATTGACATGGCGTTTATTCATGCTCTTTTTTGTCGAGTCTTGTTTCATGTGGTTCTTTGTTCTTTATTCTCCCTCTCTCCACCAACTGCCTTGTGACCACAACGTCTCGCGGGTCAGGCAACATCCTGGCTACGTCATAACATCACAACACAGCATATCACACTCATCACAATGTCACGTTTGGAGATCACATTTCTTGTCTCAACCTGTTTCATTCAGCTACCCTGTCTAATCAAAGGTGCAGTTATCAAAAGCGTTTTTCATCGCTTACTATCCGAAACTCCAGTTCCATCCTGGAACAAAAAAAGGCCCTATGTAAAAAAGAAGAAAGAAAATCAGAGGCACGTTTAAAGCACATAATCAGCAATGAGCACGTGTCGCTCGGGATTCGCGTTGGCTATGCGTGAGGAGGCATACCATAAGGCGGCGCGTCGACTTCATCTTCCTAGGATGAGAAGAGCGCGATGGCGGCGCAGAAGTTGTTGCGATTGTCCTTGTCAAGGACTGCCGACTTGCCATCAACATTGACCATGTTGACAGAGGCCTTGGTGCTGATACCGTAAAGGTGCACCTTGGAGCTCTCAATGCTGATCATGTTGTCCTGGCAGTTGTTCTCACCGACACAGACCTGATCGTAGTTGTCGAAGAAGCTGTAGAGGCCTCCCCCATAGATGAAGACATCCTTGGAGTTGACAGCGCGGAGACCCCAGGTACGGGCACATCGCGAAGAGTTGCCAGTGCAGCTGGCCTTGAAGTCAGGGTCGAAGTACTTCTTGTTCACGGTGAAGGGGACCGTCGCGTCAGGATTGCCCTGCATGTAGGCAGTCTCGGTCTGGATGAGTGACATGTAGACATTGGAGGCATTCTCAAGGTGGTAGTTGTAGAGAACGCTGTGCTCGGAAGCAGTACCCCACAGCCAAGCGCCCTTGGTGCTCTCAATCAGAACTCCGCGGCCGTTGTAGAGGTTGATCTGAGAGTGGTCGCTGAGGTCGAGCTCGTGGTCGGCAACCCAGAACCAGGTGTTCTCGAGGTAGCAGCTAGACTGCTTGGTCATGTGGAAGAGCATGAAGGCGCCGAGGCACTCAGGGTTAGGTTCGGTCTTGACCTTGGGGGTCTTCTTGCAGGTGTCGGACTGGAGCTGAGTACCGGCAGAGCCACCAACGCGGAAGTGGACATCAAAGAGACCAGCAGATCCGGGAGTGGAACCAGCGACGTTGAACTCCATCAAGATAGCACCGGGCTGGGGTCCGAGAGTCTCGAACATGAGGTCCTGGATTTCGACGTTTCCAACATCACCAGCTTGTCCGACTTGCCAGACGGGCTTGGGGTTGGCTTGGTCCTTGAAGTTTTTGTTACCGCCAGCCATGATGAGAGGCCAGACCTCGCCGACAATCTTGATGTTCTTGGGAACCTTGACAGTATCGGTAATGACATAAGCGCCGTGGTCGAAGTAAACGATCTGACCATCTTGGACACTGTTGAAGACAGCCTGAATGGCAGCAGTGTCATCAGTCTTGCCATCACCCTTGGCACCCTTGGACTTGACGGAAATGAAGTTGGCAGCAGGGACGCTGTTGTACTGAGGCTTGCTCTTGGTGACGACGTTACCCTTGGTGTCGAGAATAGCCTTGGGCTTGGCGATAGGAGTCTGAGCGGCCTGAATAGCTTTACCACTGCCGCCGGTGTAGGCACGACCTTGGACCCAGGATGCAATCTTGGCGTTGCCGGGGAGGATAGTAGCACTAGATCCACCACCCTTGACAGCGACAGGGACAGCGGAGGACATGTCGACGTTGTCGATGATCAAGGTGCCGTTGGTATCGGGCTGGGCGGGGTTGTAGTTGGTCAGGACACCGACTGCAGTGTTGGCAATCTTGCTGTCAGTAAGGAGGATAGAGCCGACGTTCTGGATGTTGCCGCCAGCAGTCATGTCAATGCCGACCTTGGCGCCAGAGATGTCGAGGCCGTTGAGGGTCCACAGCCAGTTCCAGTTCATATAGACGGCAGTGTTGCAGTTGCGGAAAGTCATGTTTCGGCTGGTGAACTGTTGGCTACCAAAGAAGCCACCGTATCGGCCACCGATGAAAGTAAGGTCGGTCATGAAGCCACCGGAGCCGTTATCGATGAAGATACCTTGCTGCTTGTTGTCGTCGCTGGGGTCCTCAATCATCTGGAAGACGATGTTCTGAAGAGAGGTAGCTTGGGCGACCTGCCAGTGGATACCAGTACCGGAGCTCTTGGGCATACCGGTGAGATCAATCTTGAAGTTGCGGACCTGTCGGAAGAAGTTGTTTTGGTTGGTGTGCCAGTTAGAGCCGTCCGAGTTGTAGGGATCGACGTCAATGACAGCCATGCCCTCAAAGTTGGCAGTTGGCTTGAGAACGGGAAGGTTGTTGGCATCACCAATCATGTGGGTGTAGTAGTAGGGGAGGATAGGCTTGGAGACAACATAGGTACCAGCGGGGAAGTAGACAAGAGCGGGAGTGACAGTCGAAGAGTCACAGCCCTTACCACAACGGTTGCCATCAGAGAAGGCGGCGTTGATGGCCTCAGTGTCGTCAGAGCTACCATCACCCTTGGCGCCATAGTCCTTCACGTTGCGGAAGATCTTGTAGTCGGCGGAGCCATAGGCAACGACACCCTGACGCTTGATGTCGGACAACCACCAAGAACCGGCAGCAGCGGCAGCCGAGTAGGCAGGAGGCTCAGGTGCGGCAGGCTCAGGTGCAGGAGGTGCAGGATAGGCCGGAGCGGCAGCAGACACAGAGGCCGCGGGAGCAGCGACCTCAACCTTAACCTCAATAGCCTGAGGAGCAGCCGCAGCTGGGAGGGTGAAGAGGCGCATGGCCAAGAGGGAGGCCGTGACGATAGTCGAAAGCCCCATGATGACGATTAATGGCCAGCTAAATCGTTGTCTTTGGGGTGTAGAGATGTAGGATCGCTCTAGAGAGTGTGTTGATGTTGCAGAAGATGGCTACAAAGGATGCAGTCAGTATGCCTGTGTTTTGGTGTTTTGTTCGGAGGAGATTGGAGGAAATCGTACGCAAAGAAAACTTTGGGGAAATACAGTGCAAATGTATGAGAGAGAAAAGGAGAGATCTCAGTATCAAGCTTGAGGAAGCTATCAACTGGGATGGGGGTTGCGTTGTGTGTAGATCGAGGTGAACAAAGGAAGTGAACAATGATCTGCACAATGGTGAAGAAAGGATGAAAAGAGCGGATGGGTGAAGGAACAAAGGGAGAATAAATAAGGCGAAAAATAACAATGGCATTGGCACTGGCAGAACTTGAATGAATGTGAGGTATAGTGAGTATTGCACTGGCAGCCTGACACTGTCGACGGCCGTCAAAGTCCAAGTGAGGCAGGTGATGATATATCTCGGCAGCTTTCTACAGTGGCACCGAAAGGGTGTGAGCTGGATCTATAAACGCTGAGACCACTAGGAATCGATTGTTTACATCATCCGGCTGGCAATGCTCGAAAGCGGCACTTGAGATGAGGGTTCGCGGGTGTTGTTGGTCCCTTGTTCCGCTTGCATATTGAGGCTTGTTCAGATGAAACTTACCAAGTAAAGAGGTCAAAGAAAAGAAGACCAAAATCTTAAGCCAAGAAACAAAGCTATTCAAGGGAGAGACGGCGCTGGCTTGTTCTTAAAAGCAGGCAAATAAAAGAGAGGGTGGTGATCAAAGTGACGCTGTTCCAGACAAGCAGGAATAAAAAAGAGAGGCAAGGAGAGACACACGCGATCGCGTGTTCACACGATAAAGACTGACTGTCGTGGTGGTGGGTGGGTGTGGTAACTTTCGACTGACTTGAAATGGAATGGA